CTCTCACATGTGATGGATGCCAGTTATGTGCTAGTGGTGTGTCGGTCATTTACCATACAGATTGTTAATGAGCTATTGAAAACATTCAAGGGTAAGTGTTTGTTTACTCAAAGAGCAATGTAAAAAAATCTCTCTTAACACAGGGCTGTACTGAAAAGGTTCATTGGAAAAAAAATTACATCAGGTTTTGGGACAAGAGACTGTTTTCCCTCATAATAAGGGGGAAAAGAATGTTTTGGACTGTCGCAGTTAAACTGTGTTCTATTTTTCGTGTCAATTTTGGCTGCACCTGTGTAGCAATAAATCATGCTGGATATATCTGTGATCCAATAAGCAACAGGTTTCTGTAACTTATAACATTAACAATAATATTGATAATTGACCTAAGTTTTTTTAAATGCTTCAATGATAAATATGTGTCTAGCATAGAGACAAGATTTAGAACAGTTTTCTTGGAAGTGAATCTAACTTGTAATGTTACTGTTGCTTGTTGCAATTGATAACTAACCCAAGGTTTAAAAAAGAAATGCCCCCAGAATAAGTGTCTGTACAGGACAGACAGTTTTAACAGAAACTAACTCATCTTTCGATAGCCTTTCTGTACTACAAAATATATAACATTTCAAAATCTAGTCATTGTCCACAGTACAAACCTTGAAAGATTTTGTATTCTGAGTTGAAACTTTATAGCACTAGCCATTTTTTTATGGAACATTTTTTATGGGACACATTTTGCACGCTTTTCAATGAAATTTACTGCATTTTTTGGCTGAGTGTAGATACATGTAGTAGGGTTTACAGGAAGCAACACAATTTGCCCAGTGTTATTAATTATTTTCCTTAATTCTAACATCCAGATCCTTTAAAATCTATGGAGGATTTTTGAAGGATTTTTGCAGGATAAAGGAAGAGAACATTTGCTAGTCCTTATCTGAGGCTTGATCCTTAAAAGTTCAGATACAAGAATCAATGAGCCATTGACTTTGTGCTTATTTGTTATTTGGTTTTTCAAGGATTCTGGAAGGTTGCAAGCAAAAATGCTTGGAAAGTTAAAATTTGGCATTAATTCTAGTGTCATTGCTACTTTTTCTATAATTACAACTTGTGAGCCTTAGGTTTTCATTGATACTCTCAGCAGGAATAAAAGTAGGCAAAACACCAGGGTGTATTTTTTTCTTCACTTAGTTTCAGAACAGAACAGAAACCGTTTGTGGAGTTTGTGGACCTGTGAGTGTGACCTTTTGCAAGCGGTCAAAGTGGAAGTTGTAATTTTGGCCCATCTCAGTTGGACATGACATTCCTTGTGTGGTCTGTCAATGCCTTAGCCTAAGCCGTGTCTTTTACTAGTCGTCCTTTATTATTGTATGGAAATATGAGTAATTGAAGGTGAATAGTTTACCTGTTCAATACTTTGATGGGCAATAGGATGGTGGTATATGACCTTCGTGTACCAGTAGAGTCATTATACCAGTGATTCAGGATGGAAAGTTCTCCAGCTGACCTTTATGAATTAAAATCCTAGTACATGTACATGTACATGCACGATGTATGTTGTGTAGTATGTTATTGGTTATTGTTAATGGAGACAGTTTCGAGTACCAGCAGTTTTTTGCATCTGTGTACTTTGTAACCACACTGTGTCAGTTCTGTCCAAGTCAACAACATTAGTGATTGTTTGTTTGTTTCTCTTTTTGTTTTGTTGTGTTTTTGTTGTGCTTCTTTGTTGTACTGTGTGCACTAAAGAAATTTTGTGTGTAGGAAACAAGCTTAAAGTTTAAAGAGATGTTTTATTTCATTGGAAAGTCTTGGTGGCAATGACAGATCTAAAGTGACTTAACTAATCTGGCACATGCTGAGAAATTCCACTGAGGAGATCACTAAAGGCCAAGAAGTGGTGATCAGAAAGACAGTTTATTTCAAATTGATTCAGTGTGGTCAGTGGTTATACTGATGAATATTTACCTTGATTCAAGAGAACAAAATGCTTTACATGTAGGCCTACTTATAATTTTTTCATGCATCGAAACCTCAGTCCTGTTGCCTAAACCTCTAACAAGGTATAAGTACCTGTACATGTAGACAAAACATTGAATTGAGTTTGTTTTCTTACATGTAAAGACTTTCATCTGGCAGCTATCAATCACTGTGTAACATGAAACCAAGAAAAAGAATGACAAATGACAGTAACAGAAATAGAGGCAGACCTGACACATAGACCTACAGAACTTGCACTTGTTGTTCCTTTATCCACATTCATGTAGAAAGGGAGAAAGAAATTATGCCCATGGGCAGTAAGACGCATTATTTTCCCTGGTAGGAAGCTTGGTATGCTTGTTAAATGATATGAAGTATAGAGTGTCCGCGCGCACAGCTATTGTTGACTGAAAAAGCGGGAACCACTTAGGACGAGAATTCTGGCATACGGGTCATCTGACGCATCGAAAGAGAAACCTTTCTCGACCGGGAACATCCTTTAACCCCCCTGTGGTCCACTCTTCCCTTATTCTGTGAAGAGCCTGCATGCTTGAACTCAACTCAGTTAGTGTCCCATCTGAGGCTGGAGCAAAGAAAAAAGTAATTCAATTGTGTTCCCCCAACTGCTTTTTGGAGTTCACTCCATGGCCACTGACATCCACTGCCCCACTTCTTGTTTCACACAAGTAAATGCAGTGATATTATCATTGAAACTCATTCCATTTTGTTGTGGAAATAAGTTGATGTGTAAAGTTCCTGTTCTTCATGGCAAGATAAAGATACAAAAGTAGAGAAGTTTATAAATCATTTAAAATGAATCACTCTTAAGACTTATCAGAATTTTACAGTGTAAGAAGGGAATTAGCATGTATGTATAAGTTCTTGTAAAAATCTGAAAGAAATGCATGCAATACATGTACTCTCTTTAAAAGGATATATTGTAAGGGAGGATATCCTGTAAGAATTTCACATGAATCTGACTCTGAGATAACCAATTTATTCATTAAAAATAGGCCAGAATAAATTTCTCATAGAAGTATTTTTTGTCAGATTCTTGCACACTTGTATGAATCTAGAAGGTCTTATGCTTAAAATTGCAAGTGTAATTTATCTTTCACCCACAAATATAGCCACATATAAGTCTGGTATTTTAGATTTGGTTGTTAAAGAGAAGAAAAAACATTTTGTGTAATTAAGTCCATATGAGTGAAATCCCTGCACATGTTCATGTGTAAACTGTGAATATTAAAGGAACAACACAGTAAACACATCACAGAATCACAATGGCTTGATTTGATGCGGTTTTGACTTCCTGTGGCTTATTTGCAGCTCTGGGGAGAGAAAGAAAGTTTGGATAAAAAAAATGGAGAAATAAAAATTAAGAAGGGTAACTGTACTATGGGCTTAGCATGGACCAGCGACGTAACCCTACGTGAACTCTTTTGGTTTCCTCGCCATTTTCCAAACTCATTGTACCTCCTCGTCTCAATTTCTCGCTTTTGGCAACAGAAGAGCAGTACAATAACGTGGCACATGTTGTATTTTAAACGTGATTTACCCTCTATTAATATGAAGGACTTCAACTCCTATTGTGGATGTCTGGCCATCCAGCAAGAATCACCTGAAAGGGTTGTGGGGGGATTTCTGGTGATGATTGATGGAATTAAGGAATTTTTTTTTCTGAAGTAGAGTTTTGTGTAGTGTACTTTTATGTGACATAAAATGCATGGTGTTATTCAGTGGAACGGTTCTACCTGCAGGGAGTCACGATCTTCCACTTTCTGCTATAAAAAAGAACGTTTTCTTTATTCTTTATTTTTGTGTAATTCTTGTAAACTCCCGGTTCTATGGTCAAGAAATTCACTATAGAATGAGTGCTTCATGTTAAACATTCGTTCTCATTGGAATACAGATTAAAGCAGTCATACAACATTTAGCATGTACTTTTTCACTCTAGTATCACTTTCAAATTTACTCAGAAAATGACTGATTTGAATTGTTAGTCAACTACAGTTCTACCTGTACACAAAGTCTTTAATTTGAGACCCAAATTTGTGGTCCCAAATTGTAACCCTAAAATGAAGCCCTATCTTTTTGTTAAATAAAAATTTTTTTTTAAATTTTCAGAACCCAAGATCGAAAGTGTTGAACACTGCCAGGTTGTGATAACAAATTTATGTCTATTAGATACATGTATTTTCTCTACTGAAACCATGGATTCCTTAAAAGCATCCAAGGCTCTGTAGTTATTAAGCCTGAAGAAAACCTGTAGAGAAGAGACAGTGAGAAAGAGTTACTGTTTTAGAAATGTGGGGAACCCCAGAACAATATTGTATGCAAAACCCATGGAATCAGGAAGGAACTGAAAACCCAATCCACATGTGGACGGAGCCAGGAATTGAATCCAGGCTGCAAGTGTAATTGAGGCTATATATCCATCTTTGAATATTTGTTGTCAAAGTGAAGCCACATGTGTTGATGATTACTTGAACAACACTCGTATATTAAAATGTTCACTGTATACTTTTGGCAGCAATTCTGCACGTGTACATGAACATATCCTCACAGCAAAGCTTAATGCCAATGTGTATTTGGCATGACATAACTGGTGGGTGTTAATTTCACTTGTGACAGAATTTGATAAGGCCAACATGGTCTGTTTATTTAGATATTCGGCATACTACTGCAGGGATGTAAGAAGATGCTGGTAACAAAATTGAGGATATGCCCAGTAGTTGTTGTACTGCAGGCTAGGAGTCACATGCTTCTTAGTTGATGACACTGGCAGACCTTTAGCAAATATTGCTTTACTGTTTATTTGCTTAGCTCTGTTCAGAAACGTGTCTGTCCCAAACTTCACAATGCTTGGTGCTTTTAACCTGTTTATCCCAAACTGAACACATTTCTGCACTTTTGTAGCTCTCCCTGTGCCAAGGAACTGGCTAATCACACACAGGACTGCATTAAGCTTTTCCAATCTCAAAGTCTAACTTGTTATCTTGTTCTTGATTCCATGATCTTTCCAGCTACAACTCAAACATAAGCCCAGGGATGATGGTTGGCCTCTTTGTTACCACGGCAATGTCGTAGTTCATCTTTGCGAGGTGGAGCGAGAGTACCTTCGCCAGGGGGACTACTACTTGTACATCAAGCCCAACTCACCCCCCTCCCCTGCCAACAACAACAACACCAACTCAGTCACACTGACCCTGCAGTACCTGAACACAGACGGCCAGCTGCGAGAGATCCCTGTGCCCACCTCCACCTTCCGGGAGGTCTTCACCAGGCACTGGCTGCGGGATGCCAGTCGCGACGTGGTGCCCTCGGCTTCCTCCAGTGCAATGGACCTGAGCCCCTCCTCCTCAGACGGAGGTGCCTGTAGTGGCTCACCACCTCCCAGAACCCTGAGCAGCTGCCTTATAGCAGGAGAGCTGGGACTGCAGAGGGAGGAGTGGAGGGACATTGTCCAGCCTCCAGTCATGGAGAGGAGGCTGTCTGGTCGCAGGTCAAAGACTCAAAGGTCACGGGTAGGAAGTAGTGGTAGTGGCAGTAGCAATGGTGGAATGGGTCAACATGGAGGTGCAGGAAAGAGAAGGCAAATGAAACCAATGGGTAAGTTCTAAACGAATGCCTTTCTAGTTTTATATTTGCCTCTCAAAGTCAGCATTTAAATCTCACAGTTCATCTTGGTAGGCCTATTAAAAGCATTAACTATATTTAAAAAAGCTGTTAAGAAACTTCAGAGGAATCCCTCTTTAAGAACTCTAAGCAAGCCAGCACATGTGGACAGATTTGAAAGGAGGTTGTTGCTAAATCTGCACTTAAACTGATGTACATGACTGATCATTGCAGAGATAAATGATTCAATGACTCGACCTCTTGCAGTGAGCTAGATGTAACAAAAGGGATCCAACTTCCAACTCAGGTTCATTCTCTTGTATTTCAGGCTACTAGGTCCAAAAGTGTGACATTTTTGTGTCCCTGTAACTCCCAACGTATGTAATTTGACATGGAAGTATCATTGAAACTAATTCAAACTATTTTTATTTGTTTGGCAGGTAATTTACATTACTGAATCACTCTTGGAAACCAAAGAGTGTGTTGTAAACTTACAATATCATATCTCAGATATGACAAGAAAATGGACAAAATTGGACCCCAATTGTATAGGATGACTCAGTTATGAAATAGACAAGCCTTCAGGGTTTTTCAGATTATCATTTTTTTGTGTGTGAAATATAGCAGAAGGGCATGTGTGAACTGCCGAGTGTCAAAATTCAGTTTGAAATGATGTTGCATAGTTATTGTGTTTTTTTCTTGGGGGGAGGGGTCAACTTTGGATTCTAGGTCATGTGTAGTCAGGTATGATTTTTTAATTGCCATTAATACTTGGGTGGTCTTTTAGTGGGCAGATGCATCAGCCAAGCATAGAAAATCAACACAATTTAGACTGCTGGGGAAATCTCCTGCTACCTTCAGAATATGTCCATTGGTCAGGTAGAACCTTTAACATAATGGCACCTGGGAAGACCAATCAGCCAATTCCTGGTTGACTACTCTATTTTGTGCCTAATTTTGTGTATATTTAAAAGAAAAGGAGAAAAAGTGGTTGCCTCACTGGTGTAGGAGAGGAAGAACTGTTGCCTTGCTCGTGTTTCCCCTGGGAATTATAATATTTTGGGGAGGGGGTACTTTGAATGGTCTTGAGGCCGATTGAGTAAGAAAGGAAGTATTCTGTTTTACTGATGTAGAAACCACATGCCATATTTGTCCAAATTCTGTTTTTTTTTTCACTTTGCACTTACATGTATGTGGCTTGTTTGCTCATGTATTTCTTGACTACAGCTGACGTGTCATGTGGTTAGTTCATTAATAAGCCGGTTGGTTTTTTTTTATACTGAATCAGAAGAAACGCCTAGGATAGGATCTTTTGGTTCACATGACCTGCGGTACCACTACTGTGACACAGAAAAACGAGTATCTTTCCAGATGATAGACTTTGCTGCATACATGTACATGTGTATCTTCTGCATGTATATTGTTGATAATTTTGTTTCAAAATATTACTTTCAAAGGAAAACAAACAAAAGCGGCAGCAAAAAAAAAAAAAAAGTGTTGTTCCACAGTTTAAGATCTCCGGAAAGTTTAAAGTGGCCACTTTTTCAGCTGAAACCTAACCAAAAGATGATGAACGAGAAATTTGTTGCAGCGAAACATTATCTCATCCTGCCCATCTATGCATGTTTACAGATAAAAAGCAAATTTCATACTGTTTACTGTTGACAAACCACAGGCAGTGTGCAGCATCATGTTCCAAAATAGTCATTGCTACTGTTAATATTTCACCTGGACATATCGAATTTGAGCCCTTTCGGTCAGTCAGCAGTTTATTGTAATTCTGGGGGAAAAAATGGATCAAACAGATGGTTAGGAAGTGGGAAGGTTCAGGGGGGTTAACATTAATACCAGCTGGCGTGATGTGAATTAATTGTACAGCATGGTGCTCATCTTATTAACATCATTTTCTTCCAGTGTGGGAATGGATTTGTTCCTTGATATGTCTGCTAGTGTATCGGTAGCTTTTCTGATTGTGAGAGATACTGTATTTTTTTCCTTAATGTGGATGGACAGGTGTGGAATACTGTTTCAAGTTCTCCTTTGTTGGAAAAAGAAATACAGGATAAACCGTTACATTCAGGAATGTTGCAACAGGTTCTACACTGTGCATTATACTATACCGCTTGTAAAAGGCGAATTAATTGTACTGCAATACAGCAAAATCTTGGGCTCTGAAACTTGAAAATATTTACTGTGGAAACATATGGCCGTCCATGTTACTGTGTTACTGTGATAAGATACATGTACCTAATCGTGGACTTCAAACTCCCACATAATATAAACATGGAATTCAACAATAGATTTGCACTGAAATGCAGAATTCATTATAGCGTATTATGAAAATGCAACTTTAAAAAGTTAGAAATCATTTATCAAGGCTACATTTTCACTGACATGTTTTTTAAATTAGTAATAAAAAAAACTTTTTGGTCAAATTCCTTCAAAAGATGGATATTTAGCTATTAATAAATTGTGTTTAATTTGGGTTTTAGTGCCACTACAGAATGCTTGATGCTATGTTCAGTGAATCCCAATTCTAAAGAGCCTGTGTAATTTTCATTCAAATGGTTGTTGTTAATGATATGTGGAAGGACTTCAGCAACTTAGTTTTTGCACTGTAGAATCAGCAGAAAAAAAGCTCACAGAAAACACCAATTTTTGCTGATTTAATGACATAAAATAGGGGTTAATCCAACTTATTGTATATAAGACGGTTGAAACTATCATATAACGTCAATTTAACCCTACATGGCCCATCCCCTTTAAGACAGGAAATCTTATACAGGTATATATTGACCCCAAGCCCCACCCCATCAAACACAAGAGGGCAGCATGCAGTAATCTGGCTCACCGAAGAATTCAAGACACAGATTCTGCATGCTGATGCACTTTCTTATTATTTAAGGAACCATTTTAGTGTTTATTTTATGATGCAAAAAGGTTTCCTTTTCAAGTTTTAACAGTAAGTTGTGTCTTTGCAAACTTTATTTTGAAAGAGTGTGCTGGGATTAGATTGTGTACAGCAAATGTAAGCCCTTCAGACATTTATGATGCAAATCTCACAGAGTTTTGACAGTTTAAGAAGCTGAATTTCTTTTTCCCATTTCCTGCAAAAGATATCACTTGGAAGAAGTGTACTGGGCTTTTGAATATCTGTTTCAGTAGTACATCCTTTAAGTGTTCTTTAATTGACTCTTTTTAAATGTTAAAACAGTGGAACTTTATCCAATGTGAAATGGATATACCGCCCTCTGTTGAGGGATGCAGGAACTTTGTCCTTCACTGTAATACTTGTATTGTGGGTCCTTCAGTGACCACGTTCCAACGGCTTCCCATGCATGTTAAGTCATTTCTTGTAAACCACAGTTATGCCAAGGTAAATTTCCTAGCCATACTTTTAATTTTTGGAAAATAACTCTTTGGTGGGATTTTTTCACAATGAACTTTCCCAAATGGTTTCTAAAGTCAAAGCGAAAGCTTTATTTCTTCTGCGCAGTCTTCACATTTGACACCATTCAAGGCAAGCCTCCCCAATTACAAACAAGTTCTAATAATGGACTGTATGGGCATTTATTATACCACTGGTTTTGTGGTCAGTGGCACCTGAAATGTCCATAGAGCATGCATGTGCAATATATCAGATTGAAATTGGCCTTTTTCTTCTCAGAAACCACATTCTATAAATTTATGCTGAAGTTAGTTAAAAAAAAATAGACCAACCACTTGAAGCTTGCTTTAGATTATTGGTAAGTCTTTCTCTTCCTCAGAAAGCCCTAATTTGTGTATCGTTCACTTTTCCTTCCTGTTTTTAAAAGGTTTCCTATACGCTGTAGTTTGAAATGGACATTATTGGCTACATGTAATTCTGGGGTATACATGCAGTGCCGCATACAAACATGTGAAATTTTACACCCTTATCACTTTCTATATATATTCAACATAACTAATTCCTGTTTATTGTTTTCCCCAATTTATCATTCCTTCATTTATTGCAACTGTCAAATTCATTTATTTTCTTGTAGTTACGGGAATTGTAATTGTGTGGTTTTCCCAAAACAGGAACAAACGTTTACTGTGCAATCAGAAACAATGTCCCATTAAGGTATTGCACCACTTCCCCATCTCCTTTCAATGTACATTTACATGTGACGATCAATCTTACAGGAAGTATCCCAGTCTATATTTATCTTTCGATCAATTATTAGCTCATCAGTGGTCCATGGATACAAATCATTTATTCGCATTGTAAACGTGGGCAGAATTTATTATTTTCTATTGTCCTGTGCCGTGAAAACATGGCTAGTTTGGATTTTTTGAAGAAGGAAAACTTTACAACCCAGAAAATGACTCACATGGCAGTTGCCAGATCAGAACAGTTGCTTCTTGTGAGCGTATGTTGTTTCCATAGCTGTATTGGGCATCTCTTTGTTACTGTACGCCTTGTATGTAAGTAACTTCTTTGTTGGGTGCTGTTTTTGTGGGGAAAAAAATCACTGTGGAACAATTTTGACTGGAAATTAATCCATGCAGGTCTATAGATGAGAGGTTTCAATGTTTGGTCTGCTCCGATTGAGAAAAAGATGTTCATTTGGGAATGTTACATGTACTGGCAAAAATAACTTTGAAGCAACAGAGACATACAGGCAAACACATTTATGATATTTGTTGTGAAATATTTAAACTTTAGGTAGAATATATATTGGTAAAATTTATTTAACTGGGCATATGGACCATAAACACTGATCTTTCCATCTCCCTCTTTTTTTTCCTTTGCAGGGATGAGAGAAATGCGTAAATCGGGCTCTGGGCTGGGTAGTAGCGGTTCTGATGACAGCAGTAGACAAGGCAACAGCAAGGATGGTCAGCTCCTACTGGCCCAGTATATACTGGAGGTGAACTTTGAATTATTGCACTCACAAGCTGTCATTCTTACAGGTAGGTATTTTTAAAACCCAAAGTGTAGACATTTTCTGAAAGTGTCTTGCCTCTTTCTTTAGAAGAAATTCCTTTTTGTGAGAGACTGATGTAGGAGACGGAGAGTTTGGGCAGTGGTGGGGCTACAGTGTTAGACCCATAGATGTTGCCACCAATTGCAAGGGGTAGGATTATTGTGGATGTAATGTGAGAGTGTACTTTGCTGTTGCCAATAGTGGCGTAGATGTACTTGTACCTTACACATCATGGCGTGGCTTTACTGAGGTGCATTGTTGTCTAAATGAAATTTTGCATTTTTGCAAGAAAAGGGTCAACTCAGTTTGCTTCGCTCCGTCCCCCCAGATCACATGTATGTACTTTGTATAGTACATGTATACATTTTATGTGCATATGCTCATGACTCAAGAATGATTAATGTCACATGCAGAGTTTTATTTCAGCGAATTTTCAGCCATTTGAGATCATTTTAAAAAATGTCTTTGCATAGTTATTGGCAGTGTTTACAGTGCATGTCTCTTGAATCAGTTTCCAAGAAAGACCTGTATATTTTGCTGTGTTTTGCATTTTGACATCAGGGGCCGATTTCATAGAGATTCTAAAGCACAAAATATGCTTAAGCACGAGAAAACCTTACTTGATAAATCAGGTAACCAGCCAAGACTCTATGTGATTTATATTGTTTTGAGATTGTATTTAGCTGTTGGGGGGGGTGTTAGCATGACAATCAGATAGAGTTTGAGCTGGTAACCTTTGTTTATTAAGCAAATTTTTTTCCCACTGAAGCAACTATTTTGCTTAAGCGGCTCTATGAAATTGACCCCAGGTCGGGGAGGTACTGCAGTGCACTTGGAAATGACTTGCAGTTTAAGATTCTGTGCACTGTTATCCTATTCTTCCTTCTACTCAGGATGAGTAAAGGCTGCTGACTGAATTGACACCCTTATAGTGGCTTGTGCCAAACAATCTTGAGTCTCAGAAGTAATGAGGCACTGTTTTGTCCTGACAAACATTGACGTCAGTCAGGCCCCAGCATTTAATTACTTCTGGCTTACTCCAAATTGCTGTGAAAATGGGGGATTTCCTGATGCGGTCATTATATCTGTGCAAAAAAACTGCCACGCTGGGTGTCGCGTAATTTTGCCAGATGGATCACAGCTTTTGAACACCTTTGGAGGCCCAAATAAGAAAATCTAAAACACAACCTGTTTTTCTGTTGATTCCTGCAGAGTCATTTCTTCAGCATCTGTAGAATGTTGTCACATGCCTCTGTTAATTTCTTTCAGGGATTTTTGCCAGCTGTGAACAACAGTAGCATTACCACTCGGCCTACTCGCAGAAACAATGCACAATGTACTTACCTCCTGAATCTTTAATTTGCTGACCATTACTTGAAGGGTGGATACAATTTAGCTCACATTAGTTTGGCTAATGAAAGAAATGCAACATTGGTCATCTTCATGTTGTGACATTTGCCCATTGCGGGCCTTTTATCCAATCAGTGCGAGGAGTGCAAAAGAAGGAATCCAGAAGTGTTAAAAAATAAAAGTAGAAGAAACTCATGGATGCATAAGATTAAGAATGGAAGTCTTCTTTATATTGTAAAGAGGACAGTTCATAGAAAAAATCACTTTAGCTGTTTTTATTACCAAAGGAGGCTGCGTGTGAGTACGAAATTAAAAGCTTCTGGTCTTTGGTAGATCTTGAAGAGCTTGTATAGAGGCTGAAAACTGCTAACCAGTTTTCCAGCCCAAATGCCTGAATATACCCACCACATTTTGCTTTTGAGTGCACTCCATAATAACTTTGGATTCCTACCCCAACCATGTGTTTAAAAGCTCCATGCCCCAACTAACCCTCCTGACCCACACACCCGGGTAATCCACTTAATGCCCACCTGCTTCCACAACATCTATTCACCATAGGGGCGAGAGACAGCAGAGGAGGGGCCGTCTTGGAGGTACAGGGGGACAGTCCCATCTGGACAGAGGCACAGTACAGTCTCCATGACATCAGCAAGGTCATTGGCTACCTGTTTGGCATACCCAGGTAAGTGAGATTCAAATTATGTAGGCATGAACCATGTTACAAATGAGACCTCTAAGTCCTCAAGTAAACTCAAATGGTGTGGTAGGAAACACACTAAAAATATATGATGAGGCTGCATCAGCTAGTCTTGATAGTGTAGAAGTGGTTTGGGCAGAGTCTGATGGAGTCAAGTAGGAAACGTACAAAAATATCCGAAGGAACTGGGACCCATGCTCAGAAGCCTTTCATCAAAATTTGTATATTTTCAGCATACTTGTTTGTCCACATCTCAGATTATTGCATGTAACTAATCAAAAGCCCAACGGCTCAAATCACGCTGTCTATTTTTCTTGGGCTGGTTTGAGTCTGATGTGAAGTGAGCGACTCTCAATGTAAAATCTGATTTATCTGACATTTACCAATGTTAGTCACTCATGTTAGTAAAATTTGAATAGCTTAAGATGTTGGACTTGGAAGGAACTCTTGGGAAATGCTGTATGCAAATCTGGACACTTGATGTGCATTCACTGTTAGTGTTGTTAAGCTAGGGTTTCAAACGCCCAGTCCAAATTCCCTGCTTGGGCTTCCCATGTTCTCCTGTTGGCCTCTCAGTCAGGCTCAGCAACAGTGGTTTTGACAAAGAAATAACTTACCCATTCGTGCCAAAGTCACCCTATGCTGGTTTGGCAAAAACAAACTGACAAAAAAATAAAATCCGAGGTAATTGGAGCAGTTGATCAAGGATGACAGTGAGGAAATCCTGAATGGCAGCGTCACTAATGATAACCAGCCTGTGGGTAACATATCCACTGTCCTACTGTTGCTTCTATTTCCTATTTGACGTTGGTATCACTGATCACCCCAATAAACTGATACATGAATCATCACTTCAATCCATTTTTTTAGATTTCCCATTGTTCCAAGAGCAACTAAACTATTCAAAACGATGGAGTGAATGACCACATATGCCGTTGTTTGTGGCAACCTCCCAAAAGGTCAACAAAATTGTAGCCCGATTCCTTTCCTTCACGCCCTCTAATCCTGGGATCTCCTGTTGGGCTTAGGGTTGATGGCCTGTTTATTCCTGTCTGTGGCTCTCAAGGGGGCTGGGCAGTCAGAGCTTGCCACGAGGATGCATGTCCACCCTCCTGCTCGAGAAAAACAGGTGTTGCCTACCCTTTATCTACCCATTAATGATCTGTTATGGGTGATCAGGCAATCTGTACATAACTTAAGGAAGTGGAGGTTGTGTTCCGTTTGTTGACACACGGCCATGAGTGTTGCGCAGATGTGGCCAGAGCCTCAGCTACTGAAATGTCCACAGAGAAATAAAACTTGAAGTTTTGATTTGTGAAAAAAGTGTCAACAAGTTTCTTGTGCTTCCATAGTGTCATTTTATTGGATGGAAATGTACGATTGCAATCAATACCATTCATACCATTTCTTTAGGTTTGGTCTGAGGAAATGGGTACATGTGTTAATGTCTTCTGACCCCCGTGTCAGTTTCAGTTTGTACATGTACTTTTTTGTATTTACTATTAAGCTTCAAACCCAAATAAAAATGAAGTCCTTGTCTCCTGAAGTGCTGGTAATTATACCATTACCCTGCCCTGTTTGGGATTAATTGTGGATTTGTCCCTACATGAGAAGGGAACTAGTCTGGCCAGTGCTGCAGTGTCATTTGCATCACGCAGGAGGGGAGTAGTCAGGTGCCAAAGTTATTGCAGGAAATGGGGTCTGTGCCACTTAGTCAGCACTCATGAACTGCTTCCTCCTGATTGGTGAAAACTTCCTCCCTGGACTCCGTCCTTACGCAAGGCCACTGCGTTTGGCGTTGCTCACTAGAGCCGTTGCTGTTCAAATGGCATTTATTTACATAAAGAAAATAGACCATCCCCTTTTCAGTCTCACCATTTATAAGTCAACACTTTGTGGTATTGACTATTATTTATTAAAAGTATTACCACACAGCAATAAGATCTTAGGCAGTAGAAATTTCATGTGATTTTGATATAACTACAGAACATGACATGAATGTTAAACTTGTCTTACATTAAAATGTGAGTGGTATAAGAATATGTTTCTTTATTTGTGAATCAACTATGACTGGATGGAGAGAGAGTGGTGTATAACCATGGCAGTCTGTGTTGCCATTTAAATAGCATTAATGGAACAATTACTGAGAACTTGAAAATAGACACAGTGGGATGCTTAAAAGTTTTGAATATGAATCAAATGAGTCTTTGGAACAGAAAACAATTTCCCTCCAAATTTGGTAAACTTTCATTGCAAAATTTTTTTTTAAGTGGAATTTTATTTTTTAATTTGCCAATGAAAACTTTCACAAGAAGGGACTAGAGCTTCCTGAAAACAGCTAATGAGAATTCCCTGTTTGCTCATGGGTTCATGGGGGGCATGCTTTCCAGGAAAGTGTTGTGAATGTTTGCTATCCATTTGTCTGTCAGCATCTTCCAGGGGGGCCATTTCAGGCCTTGCAGTTTGGCCAGAGAATTGTGTTGGTGTTTTTCTACTGGCCATTTCAAGCACAGCTGATCAGTTGTTTTGATTGTGACATTCCATGGCTGCAAAAGCTGTGCAGCCTCTGCAAGTCAGGGCTGAGACTTGTCAGGATTTTTTGGATTTCAGGATTTTTCAAACAAGCTGTGTTAAAATATGAAAAATCCTGAGTTAACCAATGGGGTGTTTTCATGTATAAATGCCGATATAGAACACAAGAAATGGGTTATTTTAAGGGGTGTCAACTTTATACCACAGACCCTACACTGCTGTGGCACACTAAAAACCTCTGGTGATTATTTTCTGGATATTTCAGTTTCCTCCAATCTTGCCTGTCAAGTTGTTTGCCTGACTTGATTTCAGGCTCTATTATTGACTTCCAAATGGATCAGCCTGTATTGGACCATTGACTCAGGTTTGCACACAAAAGGAATAGAAGTTAGGCGACCATGTTGGTCAAATCTGTCTTGTCATTTTTTTCTTGAATTCACCAACATTTCATTTAGGGTTGTAAGAGAAATTAAACTTTTGTGAGCCAGCATCCTTGCTCTTGTTTCCCAACACTGAATCAAACAGTCATGCATATAAGGTGCGGGAGACGAAGTTGTTTTTTTGCAGGTTTGTTGTTTTACCACGACATGTTTTGTCAACATGGCAATAATCAGGCTTGGGAAAGTGTGGTTCTGGATACTTCACATGCTCTCAAAGCCACAAAACTGTACACACATTCTTCCTGCATTCTTTCACCTCTTCTGAATAATTACACATACGCCTGATGTGGACTGTCTCCTCAACTGAGGTCCATGTATATGGGCATTCTCAAATTAAATTTGTGGACTCTAAAAATAATATAGCCAGAAACATCATTTGCCTGTGGTGAATTGATTTTTAATTTCTGCATACAGACTGTATACGAATTTCTATTAATCACTGTAGTTTTATCTGATGTGACTGCCATATATGCACATCCCCCATTCAAGCAATAGAACAGTCCAATGGTAACTTTTCCTGTTTTTTGATTGGCTAAGAATGGACTAATCTACCTTCTCATAGAGGGGATCTTTCAAAAGGCACTGTGTATTACCTGCAAATACAAGAATTGATCAATGATAAGAAGCCATGCTAAATGTCCATAGATTCTTTTTAAAAATGATATTAATCCCAACTTTGTCTTTCAACACTTCCTTTACATGCCTTTTCTACTGTTTCCATTATTTTTTACTGTATGTGTGATATATATAATTTCTCTTTTCTTATATAACTTGCACTAAGGTTGACCCTTTTGTGTAGGATGATTTCCATTGAAAAAAGCTTGATAATCCACTTTTCTAGATTCTGTTCATGATTGTCACCAGAGGAGAATTTCCAATTGACTCTTTTGTTCACTGATATTCAGAGAGCACAATATCGGTGTTCATTTTGCCGTAGAAAATTATACCTTGGTGTTTTCTGCCTCCAGAACATTTCAAATTTGCTAATAATTGAATGACATGGTAACAACAAGAAGTGGCTGAGTAGCATCTGAGCATAGTCTTGAATCTCAGAGTTTGTCTTTTATTTGATGTAAATTATTTGGACAGTATGTTGCTTTGTGCTTATACATGGGGCCTTGTGGGGTACCGGAACAATGGGAAGTACCCCATAAGGCCAGCTTTTACCTTATGGGGTACCAAACAAGAATTTCACGAAACTGATATTTGGCAATAACTCAAAAAGGGGAAATTTTTGATGGGTAAAAATCCGTCGCAAATTGAAGTGTTTTATATAAGGGATATACGGTCGAAATTTCAACCTAGGAAAGTGAATTTGGTTTAAATTGGAGTGATTTGAAATAATTTTTTGCGTGTTGTGTGGGAGTTTCGTACACGAGAACAAAGGAAATACCCCATAAGTATAGCTGTGTAAGGATGGGTGCACATGGATGTGGTCAGGAATGTCACTGCAGCAGAAATTACATTTCCTCCACTTTAACAACACACATGACCATACAAAGCTGAGGTGAAGCTGTCCGACCACTGGGCCTGATTGGATAAGTGTTACCCAATTACGCACAGCCAACCGTGATGATGAGAGGTTTTCCTCCTTCGGGCAAAGAGGAAAAGAGCTTCTTAGGGGTAACTGACATCTCTTATTCCTGGAGATGACATCATGCTATGTGTCCCCAGGGTGTGATGCTTCTTCTGTCCTGAGGGTAGGGTGGTAGAGCCCCACCCCGGCAATTACTTAAGTCATTGCAGTGTGTGGCCAGTTAAGCATCTGACAAGACTGTCTGGAAGAGTTTTTACACCGGTAAACCTCAACAGCATCATCAGAGGGTTACTCATAGGGTTTTTTCGGTGTTTGTTCTCTTCCTCTGTCTGTGTGGTGCTTGAGTCTTCAACCAAATGTGATTGCCTTCTGGAAGTTTACTTGAGTACATACGGTTCCTCTTTCTATTGAGGAAGAGTTGATGTGTTGGGTTGTAAGTGTGATCCGCATTTTTCAGAAACTTACAAGTGATTTTTGAACGTTGCAAACTGTTGCAAATTGTTGCTGATGCCATCACGTCTATTAAACAAGCTGGTTAATTCACAAAACTGGTCCCAAGTACTACAAACAGTGACAAAGTAATAGTTTTATCCAAGTTTGTTTGAATAGCTTGTGAGTTGACTTTAGACTGAATGACTTGTTTAAGCTTTGTGGTGGATCTTTTTTGTGATTACGAGGACTTGTGATGGATTTCATTGTGCCATTTATTCCGATGTGACTTTCGGCTGAAGCTTTTAAGAGTTTTACTGTTCCTTTTACATAACTTTTTTTGAAAATGTTTATACATATTGCAGAGAGGAGGTTCGTACCAAAGGCCTGACTGTTGCCGTTGATGCCCGATCTTCACCAAAGTCTGCTGTTGAGATAATTGCAGAGTCACTCCAAGTACTTGAGGTAGGGCAGTGATTGTCATCAGTAAACTAGATGCTGACCTGTTATTCCCTAAGTCCTTTCTTTTTACCAGTCCAGTCACAACTAGTTTGAGGAGTTCACTCGCGAGTATTAGGTTATGGACAATTACTGAGGAATGCCCCTATCACAGTTCATTTGATTTTTGAGACTTGAGTTTAGACTGGATGACTATTGATGGACTTGTGATGGACTTAGGGAAGCTTGAGAGAATTTATGATATATTTAACCACACCATTGCAGCTGTGATAGAATAGTGTGAAAGGCCGTTTGAAAAATCATTATCAAATTTTAGTAAAGTTTTTGTTGTTTCTGCCTTTTATAATATATACTTTAGAGTAGGGTACAATTATTTCATGAAATACATTTTTCAACTCCTACAGCTCATATGTTTGTGGTATTCCTCTTTGAGATATTTTTTTGTTCTCCTGACAATTTGGCCTCTCTGCTCATCTGCAGGAAAGCTATCCAGGTGCTATCCACCAGACAACAGTTCTAATTGATTCAGACTCTGTCTTGAGTCGCTTCATCACCAGCCACTCAAAGCCAAAAGTGAACTATAAGGTAAGTGCTTGTATTGCTACTGAACAAATGTCTACGGACGTGCAAACTTGCCTTGGTCATTGCTTGTCATTGAAAAGTATTAGTCTTGACCACTTTGGAATTTTCTCCCTTTTTCTGACTTCAGTCATCTGTATGTACATGCATTTCTGCTGTATTTAAACCAGTACTCGAGAGAAGCTATTTGCCAGGGATCAAAAGGTTTTTACTTAAAGACAAATCATCTTCATCTGCCAATTTTTGGATAGGACATAAAATATCTCCTCAATATTCAATTATAGGAGGGGGGAAGGAGGCCTCTCCCCGCCCCACCCCCACCCCCCAAAAAAAGATCAGAATATTTTTCATTTTGGAATAAACAAGATAAAAGTGATTGGGGTAACTTTTTCATTTCTCTTTCTTTCCAAAGCGTATAAAATGCCCCCTCCCAAATTTAACCTCACCCCTCAAAGGTTGCATAAAGAAAATCCTGAATATTTGGGCCCCTCCCCAAAATTGGTTTTGGATCTGCCCTTGTCAGTATACAACTTTGGTGCAATAGCTGCGATTAAGGGTATAAATTTAAACATAGGTTTTGCATACATAGCCAATGGATTAGGATCTCCGTAGTTATGTTGTTAGCCTTCTGACACAAGTCTAGATACAGTGGTGGTCACTGACCAGTCGTTTGAGCTGTTCCTGGCGGATGTTCTCAAGACATGCCGCAGTGAGGGGAAGTCCTTATTAATAGTGTCCTGTACGCTGTCTTGACGCAAGAAAATTACTTGGGACTGGCCGTCTCCTGTTTCTGATTTTACAAAGGGTGTGTCCTTGCTGATGTATTGAACAAAAATGTGTTTCGTTTTTGATGCTAATTTATTGTGTTTAATTCTGTAGTTCATATTTAGAGGTCTGCTCTATTCAATTTTGTCATTTTATTTTGTTGGGGGAGGGAGGCAGGGTTTCATCTAGGATTGCAGTATCTTCCCAGTAAAGATTAAAAACTACCTGTCCAGTTAAAATGAGTGTTTTTCGAATGATATCCCTTTGTGCAACCTTGGCCCACATTTCCCTTTATCCCCAATGTTTTTGAAGGGAATAGAATGATTTGTCACCAATCTTAAAGATTGATGTAAAAAAATGGGGATTTGTGAATTCTTATGTAATTAATTGAAAGAAAGATCATTGAAAAGTGTAAATGATAATGATTTTAAGTTTTATCCGATGAGTAATAATTCATTGTTATTTAAAAGAGGAGCTATTTTCTTGATTGCAGTGTGAAGTTGTTCATTCAGTTGACAAGCTTCATCAGTTTGTTGCAGCCAGTCTCCTAACCAAGAGATTCAGCGGCAGTTTTCCATACGACCATGACAGCTGGGTCAGGTTCAGAATGGTAAGTAAATCTCTCAAAGTTTTTAAGTACTAGTTGCAGCTTTAGAAAAGGCTGAAATTGTATAAAGCAACTGGGTGGACTTAGAGCTTACAGGCCACTCAAAAAAAAATTGTGGAACTGAATATACTGAAAGACAAAACTAAGCCCAAAACCTAAACAAACAAAACAAAATTTCATTTAAAGATTCAGTGAATCTTTCAAAAATTTTCCTGAAGTTCAAAACTATTGAAAAACTAATTTCTTTCCTGGAACCTCTTCCTCCCATCCCTTCAGAAGAAATGAACAAAACTATGACAGAGAACAGCTTCTTTTAAAGGAACCTTAATCGTTCCCCCCATAAAAAAAACAGCTCTAGTTTTTCTTTTCCGTGTCAGTTTTACTTACCTCAATTTTGCCTTGGAGAGCATATATGCTGAACCTCTGTGTTTGTTTGTGTTTTAGGGGGTTTTTGCTGATATTGAGAAACCTGTTTGGGGGAGAATTAATAGCCAAAACTACACAGTTATTTGTGTGGCCGTGTTCCGTGTCTGTTTGTTTTTGAGGAGGAATTCTTTCAGGTATTGGAAAGTCCTCCAGAGGTGGTTTTGAGACTGAGTTGATCTGACCTGAAGTATATTTTTAGTGCCAAGTTTCAGCAGTCCACTATCCATTCAATCCCCAAGTGCCTAACTACAGACAATCCGTCTGCTGTGTGGTATTGTGAAACTGCAGTTGAATCCAACAAGGCTCTAGCTTGAGCTACAATCCTGGACAAAACTCTTTGGAACATGCCTCCCCCCTCGCCCCCTGTCAATGTTGTTTTGCATTGGGTAAGCTGGGCCGAATCTTGGTTCAATAAATGACCGCAACATAGAATGGGGGAGAGGGGGGATCTTTTCACCGTGCTTCCCACAAGGTGTTCCAACTATTTTGTCCAGGATTGTAGCTTGGCCAGTTGATGTCAATTTTTTTTTTCTCTCTTGTTGGTGAAAGTTGTCAATCCACTTTTGTGTTTGTAAAAATGTCATTGTTTTTCAGTTATTTTGTAGAATGGTGCCATTTAGATGCCAAGGCCTGTCAGAATTATGTAATAGATTCAGCTCTGCATATTTTCTCTTTGCATGAACTTTTATCAGTTTAACAAACTGATTTAGTGTTTGCAATTCGTAAACTTTCCATCAACTTTTGGGATGACAAGTAGTTAGATGCAGCTTATAATGTAATTGGTCAATGCCTGAAACTTTGGTTTGTGTGTTTGGAATCCTTTGAACTCCATCCTGATGAGGTCATGCTAAATCTGGTTCCCTGAACCCCCATGGGTCATCATTTGTTTACAACAGTACTAATTACAGGGGTTACTAGACATCAAGCTTGAGTTGTTGATAAACTTTACCCCACCAATTCAGCCCCTGGCAGTCAAAACAAGGTGAAAAATATCCCCTACAGTGGGTTCCTGTGGTTAGTGTGGGGATGCTAAGAATGTCAGGACCTGCCCCCCTAGTGTCGCAGAGAGAGGCAAGGTGTTGGTGGTTTGTGGGACCATAGAGCTACGGTGGGACAGTGGATACCTTCCTTGATGGACAGCTTAAAAAGTCTCCAGGATCAAGTTATTACATCAGGGAGAAATGCCCTGCTTGAGTTTCCCTCTGGTATGCAGTGTTGCTGTTTGATTGTGGAAAAGTTTTAAATACCGTCTACACAGACAGCTATGACTTGACCATGGTTCCTGGCTCTATGGTTTGGATTAACAGGTGTCAGCCTTGGGCCTTGGCCGCATTGTCTGGGCTTTCATTGTTTCAACTCTCTGAACATTATTTTCTCAGTAGAGCAGACTTGTGGAATTTGTCCATGACTGGGGACTTTCGGTATGCAGTGGTTGGTAGTCTTCGCTCTTTGTTGTAGTTTAGTTTAGGCCAGGCAGGGTAGAGGAGAGGGTCTCCATCAGCAGGAAACACTGCATTGGGCCATGCAAGGACAAAGCAATGAAAGATTATGACAAAGATTATTAACTTCAGGATCAAGTCTTATGCAACTGGAGTCCACAGGGAAGATATTTCGGTGGGAAAGGCCGTGGTGTGTCCGAGAGAAATTTGCTCTTGCACTGGAAAATTGAACATGTTCCATTGCTTTCTCTTCACAAGTTGTGTCAAGTTTGAAGTATTTGATATCTTTAAGCCATGAAGAGATTTCAGCTATCACTTTTCCAGAAGGTTAGTATCATAATAGTTTAACATGTTTCAACTTTTAAAACGGACTTTGTTAATTTGGTTTTTTGTCGCTAATTGTGTTGATGTGTTGTGTTATCCATTCCAGTCTGTGACCTGGTGACTCTCAGAACTGTTGAGATTTTAGATTCACTGTTGTCCTTAGATTCAGCATTTAATTTTTGTTGGGGATAGAGAATGTGCTCATCAAACCTGTTCACTTTCGTCTGTTGGTAAACTTTAAGCAAAAAGTTTGCCAGACTCTACAGTATGACTCATATGCTGTTTACACTCCTAAAATTAGGGACCTACACAGTTTTCAAATCACACACCTCTGAATCCCTCTTGAGGTGAAAGGTGATAAAAATGGTGGCTCCTAGTGAAAGGGTTTAGTGCTGAGACACTTTCAGTCAATAGGGATAATAATAGTTTCTTGTTATTGTCCTTTCGATGTCTGTTTTTTTGCGCATGGAAGCAGGAGGATGTGGGGTTAATTCCCAGACCTATTTTTTTTCTGAGTGACAATCACCCATCTGGTGACAATCACCCTGCAGACAAATTATGAAAGAAAGGATTTCTGGGGAGGCTAAATTAAAACCAGTCTCAACAACCTGCCTTGCACTTGGCTGGTTGTTTGAGTTTCGTTGTGGGGGGGGGTTCTGATGAATAGAGGTTGGGGAAATAAGAGAAGGTTGTCCAGGGGTGTTGATGAGTGAATAAGAGAAGGTTGATGAGCTTAGTCTGGTTATCCTGGGCAGCATACCCCAGAGGCAGTGACTAGACTGAAAAAAGGAAAAGACCCATCAAATCATTTGTGGTGAAGATGTCAAAGAAGCTGTGACTGAAAACAAAGCAATCATAGGTTCTAAATTGAACTGCATATGTACATGTAGCTTGCCATCCCAACGATTGAATTTTTTTTGCGATGGTGTGATCTTTGCAGCCTACTGGATCCCCCATCTGTGTATATCCAAATGAAAACTTATCCATAGAACATAAGAAGGAGCAGGATTGTTGGGTTCGGTTTGTTTATTTCAGAATTTAGAATTTTGAAATGGCCCAGATTGAGAATCATGCTACATTAAATCAGAAATGTCCATTTCAGAATGAACCTACCATCTGAATCACAATATCCTATCTTTCTGCAACCTTTATATCTTATTGTTTGTACTGTTGTGGTTACTGCACAGATGCACAAATGAAGCGAAACACATCATCAGACAAGTTGACAAGTTTGTTGCTCTTGGGGAAAAGTAAAAAATAATTAAACAGACATACACACACTACAGTGATTGTCCAGTCAAGAAAACAGAATTTAATTTCAACTTTTCCTGTTCAATTTCTTCTCCCCAGAAACTGGAGCCCTTTATCTCTGGATGCCAGAGTGCTGCCAAGTTCCTCCTTGCCTCCATGGAAGACTTTACCATGACCGGTACCCCTCAGAGTGCTGTTGAGATCAGCGAAGCCATAGAGACAGTCCGACATAAACACGAGGATGTATACCAGGACGCTCGGCTGGCGGGATTACACAGGGAGGGGGACGGGATACTTGCAACTCTCCAGAACCAAGAGGGACCCTTGGCTCTGACGGAGGACTTCCAGTACGTTTGGCTAATTTCCTCCCCCTCCCATTTTCCTCTGGGCAATATTAAGTACAACCCCCTCCCACTCTCAGATGCTGTCCATGCCCCTAATTTTTCCCTGTGACAAATGATTAACGAGAACTTGCATTTTGCTTAGTCTATCTCCCAAACATAAAAAGAGAGTTTTTTCCAAAGACCGTTACGCCTGTCAAGTGACTTTTGTTGTCTGATTAGTCTAAATATAATGTAGTAGATAATACTGCTACCTGTGATTTTCACTTTCCTTTTTTAAAAGGAATAATGTGGTCAGAAAGGGAATGGAGTTGCCCTTCAGCTGACATTTGTTGTTCAGGTTAAAAGGTTAGAGGGCCTGTCATTTCGGTCCTAGCAGAATTTTTCTCGAGGGCAAATTACGTATTTCTTGAATTTGACAAAAAGCAACATCCAACATACTTACTTATCAAACTTATTAACCAGTAAAATTTCTCATACATTTTAGACATTTTTATATGTTATAAAAGACACTTTTTTTGGTGTCTTAAGAGAAGATTCAGTTTTTCTCCATAATGATTGAGGCTTGAGATGTTTGTGCTTGATTTTAAAGTATGAACTACCTGTGTACTTTAGAGGAGATGACCTTGCTGTTTTCATGTTGCAGAAGGTTCCTCATTCACTTCTCTCTCCGATTCATCATCCTGACATCATAAGCCGACAAATCACCAGCTTGGATTTATGTCCAAAATCACAGTAATCCCACGTCTAGTAAACCTGCCCCATAAAATACATGTACGTCTACCTGGTGCATTAATTAAATTTAGCCATGTATTGTTCAGTCCAGGCTCAACTCAGCATCTGCAGTAATCCAGGATGATCCGGGAGGAGGGGAGGACTTATCGTTAAAATCCTAGAGGCGGGACAACTTTGAATAAGCTCATGTTCCTTTGCTCACACTTGCTTCACTAATACCTGAATGTATTTTTCTTTGACGAAAAGAATTGATTGGTGTTCTATCGGACCAATTCATGATGTGGAAGGGATGATGTAAGGAAGTCAACATTACAAGAAAAAGGAAATTGATATGTTCTCTTGTCCACAATAACAAACAATTGTTCATACTTGCACTTTCACATGCCTGCGTAAAAGGAGTATTAGAAACAGGGTTGAGTTTAAATTACATTCGTTCAAGGTTGAGGAGTTTTCAGACAATGTCTGTATCTATTTTTTATCTGCCTAAAGTCCTTGCTGCTTTAGTGTCAATAAATCTTACTTGAGGCGTCCCTGGATATAAGATGCTTAAACAAGGGCAGGGCCTGGGGCCAGTATTGGCTTGTGTTTACAGGATTATGAAATTCTAGCTGGTACTGAACTGTACATCCTCTTTTGGATGAAGGAGCTTTATTTGGCTGTGCTTTATGCCATGTTGTCATGCTTACCTTAACTACCATGGTTACGGCTCTTTCTTGTATCCATAAGCTCTAAAGATCTAAGACACAACACAAAACTTGCACTCGCTGTGAATCAGTGACACCGTGGGGTTATTATGGTAACCTGTGTCACTGCTCTAAGACATCTCTACTATATGAAGCAACCTTTAAAAAAATATATATAACTTCCTTATCTCCACCCTTTTCATGAATCCCTTCACCTTCAATGACACACACTGCCTGTTTCTGGTAGTGTTTGCACATAAAAGAGGTTCAAATTTAGTTGTAATCACACCTGCTATACTTAAAATACCAGCTACCACAATCCTGGCCAAATCTTGTTGGGCTCCTGAACCCCTAGGCCCCCTCTCAATGTTGGGTCTCACTGCACAGTCTGTGCTCCAGTGCGAGATGACAACATTGACCGGAGGAGTGGGGGACCCGGAAAGGGTATGGCTATTGACATGTGAATTTTATATAACAGGTTTTGCCCTTACCCAACGTATATTACATGTGTCCCAACAATTTTCTCCAGAATATTGTAGGTGCTGATAGGGGCTGAAATTGATATTTGGATAGGCTCATTGTGTACATCCTGTGCAAGAATGTGTGCCCATACTTTTGTATGTTTCATTGTGGAAATATTTTAGTTGAAAAGAAATGTTCAAATGAGGCTGAGCAGGAAATTGTCCCCAGATACTAAAGTCTCTTCAGCCTCTTCCTTTATCATGCTGGCTTTGCCCCCACTACTACTCTTGCTATATACTATACAGTGAAAACAAGGACATTTGAGAGCTCCTGCTTTCAACTGTTCCAGTGACTAATGCATGAGTAATACTATATTCAAAACTAGCCAAATACAAGAGCGGAAGTGCACTCAGAAATTCTTCTTAAAATAAACCACCACAGGTGTCTTTAAGTTGTGTTAATTTGTCATAACTGTTGTGTGTTTAAGAGATGCTACTCTATTTTTGTGTAATGTTTAATACGTATAAGCTAGGGTGTGTGTGCCTCAATAATATTAGCATAGTGGATTTCACAGCCTCAGTGGTACCTCATAGCTCGAGTTATACCTCACAGTTAGTGCCATCTCACTGGTAGTAGTACCATATGGCACAGTGTTGATGTATTCTGTCACACCTCATAGTACATTCTATGTAATGTACTGCGTTACGAGTTCTGCATGGTGCAGTGCCTCAATGCTATTTGTACACGTGCCACACCAGTTTGAGCCTCAGGCTTAAGGAGCAGAGTTGATGTACATGTACAGCGTCATACTGTAATCTTCTCTTTATCTAAGTGCTCCCCTGTTTATTTGTGAGCGTGAATGTTTGAACCTCAAGGATGATACCTCACTACAAGTTGTACAACCACATCATAGTCCATGCCTCATATCCTTGCCTGCTGTCAGTGTGCATTACTGTTCATGTATTGATTGACTGGTGTAAATTTGCCTTTTCTTGAAACACTAATAATCTACTAATCCTTTTTCTATCTGTCTCATTGTGGTTTGTTTTCTTCAGGGATGCCATGATATGTGTTAGCACCCTCTTTGATCAGGTACACCAGGCCTGCACTCAGCTCGACGAGCTGGCAGACCGCCGGCTTAGCCTGCTGAACCAGAGACTACAGCTGGCTGTGTTTGAAGAGCAAACAGCAGATGTAAGTGCACGAAAATGAGCTCCTTTTGACCCCTCCTAAGGCTTTTTACTCTCCCATCTGCATTTGCGTATTAACAAAATGGCGTTTCCGAAATAACTTTCATTTTGTCCGAAGATGCTCAGGCCCCCTGTCTAAAGCCTTTGTCACTGGACTGCTACTAACACAGTGCACATTTATATAGAAAGATCAACCCTACCCAGTCAGTATTCAGCTACAATATTCTATAGATTGGAAAAACTATTGAATAAAGTAATCTCTTGTTAAGTTGGCTGGCCAGGGATGTAAATACATTCCATTCTTGCTGTCTAGGGGCTTTCAGAGGTTTTGAGCTGAATTAAGGGTGCAAACAGTACATTCTTATTTCCTCACACTCATTTATTTGAAAATATCCCACCAAAGGTCAAGTCACTGAAGTCAACATTTGTAGCCCTTATTTCCATAGCATTCTAAAAATGCATGGAATCACTTGCTGGAGCCAGGCATGCAACTTTTCCTCGGATCAGCTGATTTCCTTCTTTTTCACTTCACACTGGTCCCATTAGGAATTGAAAAACACTGTACAAAATGTTGGAAATATTGGAGTTTCCTCGTTTTTTGTTTTGTCAAAGTTGCATGCCTGTGAAGCTGTAAAGTTCAAAGCAGTGATATCTCTGCTGAGGGCACATGACAAGCTGTCTGAAAAGTTACTGTTTTCACATACAGATCTCTCACTTAAAACCGAACTTTTGCTGCCTTATACATTTGTTACAATCCCCATTCTGTGGTTTTTGACCTTTCAGAAGTCATTCCACCTAGCATTATATGTACTAGCTTGGCAAACACGGCATTATAAAGGTGTAGCTGCTAAATCCCAGGCAAATTACAGCAATAAAATTGGAAAGGTAACAAATGTAAAGTACACAGCAGAAGCGACAAAGGTATGCCCACAAAGGCACAAACACAAGTGTGTCACTCTGGTTGTGTGAATTGCGTTTCTGAAGTTAAAACAACACAAAAATATTTTTGAACTGACCGACTGGGTGTGAGTTTATCACAGTATGGTTTGATCAAATATTGATTCAGTTTAATAGAGTGGTGATAGTGTCAATTTTTATTAAGCCTCTGCATACACAACCTTTGTGTCAAAAGTGTTGACTTTTCTAAGACAGTTTTGAAGATAACTGCTCTCACCACTGGGACTATAGTCATGCATTTTCATGTTCCTGTGGGACTGTCTGTACCTGAAATCTGAAAAACAAGTGATATTTTAGTTTTTGCAGCTGCAAGTTGGTTCCAGTTATATGGAGGGTTGGAGAGTTGCAGTCCGGGATATTCGGTGTCTTTTTTCTCCGTAAATAGAGATTTGATTGACTGAGAAGCAATGAGTTACGCAAAATCGTACACTGCTTAATGCATGCTCTTCAGATGTGTTTTTCTCTTAGAACTCTTTTTCATTTGGCCATGAAAATACAGTTGTTGATCACAGAAGGGGACAAAAATTAGACAAGAGAAATTTAACAATTTGTGTTACTTTAAAGAGCAACCCCAACGGCGGTGAAAAAATGGGTAATACAGTTTAATATACTCACATGGTATCTAAGTAATAAGTTATATATGTAAAGTGGTACTGTGACTTCTGAGTAAATAGTAATAGTGCTATAAAAATATGGACCAATTCTGCAGGTTTTTCTAACACTGTTCATGTTTGTACCCTTGGTAGCGCCACGCAGAAATGCTTTTTCAATGACACACCACTGTGGAAATGAAAAATGTCATGACCTTGCAGGATCTGGCTTCGTGGGTATGTTTTTGTACAAAAGGCCTGCTCGCCTGAGCTGCATAGCCTAGCCTGACACTTTTTTCGGAATAAAATAACAACATAAAAACATTCAAAACATCTATCCTTCTTTCTGAACTGACCGAGCCGTATTTATCAAACGATATTGGTCTTCTTCACCGCCTCGTTTACCAGCGGAGGCCCCATCATCAGCTTGATCAGGTCTCATTGGCGCTTTGGTGGCAAGATGGGTTCAAAGTGGTAAAGCTCTGCACCTCGGACTTCATACTCTTCGTCGTCCTTGGGTTCTTCTTGATGTTGTCCAAAGTAGAACAGCTGTCTGACGAGTTCATCACTTCTTCATCAATACTATGCTTCTCCCAAGAGTTGTTGCTTTTTGGTCTTTCGCCTTCAGCCACATTTTTGGGAGAATATCTCGGGCCTTCCAGCTACTATAGCACGAGCTTGGGACAGCGTAACTGCGTTACTACACTACGTGTAATTATGTGCATTGACGTGAGCGCGCCGGCTCAGCGCGTACATGCATAAGCCAGAGAACCATTTCCACGGCGCTATGTGGACAAAAGCCTGGAAAAGCCATATTCATGAGATGTAAGTGAAGTGATGAAGACGCGCTCCTTTCATGAAAGCTAGCCATGGCGTACAGCAGAAACAGGTCTCAAAAGAAATTTTTTTTTAACCGAAAATATTGCTGAATCCAGGTTTATGTGGCATATATGTAGATATCTATAATGGGATCCAAGTAAACATACTACAGCCAGATTTCTCATTTTCTTCCACCATTGGGGTTGCTGTTTAATCTCCAGATATTGCTTTTCCAATGGCTGTAAGCAGTTATCATCATGAGCAGATTAACAATTGGATGTATCCATTGGTAAACGGGCACATGCACGTACAAGTCTAGTTCACTGTTACTAAAGCTACATGGAACAGTAAACAGAAATCTGTTCCAGCAGTGTTGACAGCTTTTTTGCCTTTAGCACAACATTCATTATAAATTTATATACTTTCCTTGACTTGTTTGGACAAATTTTTTTTTTTGGTTTGTATTGCCAGGTTACGGAATGGATGAGCAAAGAGGGAGACTTCCACCTGGGTCAGATGAAGGAGGAGAAGGCTGAATCCTTGGGAAGCATCCATTCCATCCAGAAGGACTTTGAAAAGTTCTACTTTACTGCCATGGTGAGTCAGGATACTAGACTCCAAGAATCAAAAGTTTCAAGTCATGTTCTTCCATGATTTCATATCCATTTTATCCTTGTCATCTGTTGTTTTAAACCAATTTTTTTTGCTTAACAGTGATGACATTTGCTGACCTTTTAAATTTCTCCCGCTGGGTTTAAAATCGACTGCCTGATGAACAGTCATTTATTCTCCAGGTTGTTGCTTATTAGGTGTCTGTGTACATAGTGAGCTTTCTGTAGCTAGAGGGAAAGCTCCATTACTAGTGGAAAAGCTCTAATGGAGTTGAGTTCAGCAGCCATTAGGAATAAGATGTGTCTGTTGCCAAGGAAATTTGTAGGAAATTGTCCAGGAGTATGTGGCTTCGTGCTGCAAGCAGGATTGCTGGGAAATGTTGATTTAAAAAATTAGAGCTACTTTTGGGAATGTGAAACTGGCTGTCAAGGAGTTACAAGGGCTGAAATCTTGACAGATGTCTTTTTTTTTTTGGCCAACAAGTTTTTCCCATACTGAAGCTTCCATAGGGAAATGTGGCCGCTTCAGTGTGGACTAATATGGACAAAGAAAAGAAAAGCCAGGAAAAAAGGTAAAGAGAAGGCTGTGATTGACACTGGATGACACTTTCAGATTGAGGTGCTCATGGAAGAAAAAAAATCTGAGCTGAAAAATCAACATAATTTTGGGGTAAAAAAATCAAATATATATTGTGTGCTTGGTAATCATCAAGGGACCCTGAAATTTGCGAGTCACTACCATGATTTGTCAAGTCACTCTTTCCTTAAAGCCTTGGCACCATGGCAACAGGGGGATGAACTGGGTATTTCCAAGGGTTCTGTTTTTGTTTTGTTTGGTTATGTTTTCCATGGGTAGACTTTTTATAAACAGAGATACAGTAAGCAAATGAGGCGCTTCAATAAAGTAGCAAGAAGTGTGTTTGTTTTCTTGGATGATCCTCCTAAGAGATAACCAAGATACTGGGCAAGGCTCTTGGAACTGAATAGAGAAGGGAGAATGGCCCTGTTGAAGTTTAAAGTTGATTGTGTCACTATGCCAAAGAGCACATCCGCACCTAATTGATAAGTTTTACTGATGAAGATCTTAAAAACACTGTTCATCCAGGCGTCTCCTGATTAGCAATAGTTGTAAGTCCTGCTGTTCCAAGATTTTAGGTTTTTCATGTCAAATGCAGTCGTATCTGCGTTCGCAGAGAAATGTGTCAACAGGCAATAACAGTTCTTGTCAACTGAATGTGGGAGTACTTAGTTGTACGCATTTGAAATATTGGTCTTTAGTTTTGATGAGATTTGCATTGTATGCATTTGTCCAATCAACAGAAACATATCGGGAGGGGGGAGGACCTTCTTGAAGATGCCCAGGGCTTGGCTGAGGCTTGTGAGATGGAGCAAGCCGGCATCCGGGAGATTGCCCGCACTCTACGACACCAGCTTAAGCTGTTCACTGACCGGCTGGAGGACAAGAGGAGGTACATTGAGGATGCGGCAAGACTCTACACCATGCTGGATAAGGTAAATGGGGGAAGTGTGTGTAGGAGCCACCGCAAAGAGCTTTGCCTGCCGTTTCCTTATTTGTTTACAAAGGACACCCTCTTGGGTTTGTTCTCACCAGCTAGGGTGTAGTTTTCCCTACCAGCTTGTACCAGTGGCATAGTGGTGAGATGACATTGAGTTTGGACACCCCATGTTCGAGGTTGAATTCAACTTCTGTTATGCTGATTAAGTAGGTTTTCTTGTCTTTGATTTTTTTAGCTCTTTAGGATTTTATTGACCGGTGTTTTCTCCAACATAAGCAAACTTTTTTGGGTCAGAAACTTGAGCTAGTTGACTAAGCATCAGGAGGTGATGACAAAAAATCCCTATCCTTCCTTTTCAATCATGGATTGTTACTCAGAGCACCACATCACCTCAAGTCTTGTACTCATTTCCTCTGTAACCTAGGTGGCACTGAAAGCATCTTCTCCATCCACACTGCACATGTTTGTCCTACCTGAGGTGTTAATTTCTCATCTAACTCCATGGTAATTAGTTCGAATTACTGAGGAAATGTTCCACAGTTGCTAGTGATTGTGGAGTTACACCTTGTCTGCTGGCTAGACTACCAAGGATCCAAATTTCTAATGTCAGGTAATCCAGTGACACCAAAGGTGTTGGCAAATGGTTATCCTCTCTGTAAGTTCATTAAAATTGTCAGTTCCTCCCCTGGCTCTAACCTAATTTCACAGATCTCACTTTGTTTGAGATTAGCTTTAACGGTGTCAATAATTATGGTAATTGGTGAACACCCAAGGCGACATAAGGATTACCTCGCTGTGAAATTTGTAAATGGTACTATCATCCCTTGCTCTAATTTCATGGAGTGGTTCACAAGAAAGTGCTCATGGTTTCATTCAGCAGTGACAAAAGTTCAAGGAGAACTTGACAAATTCTGACACTTTGAGGGTATTCATTGCCAGGAGAAGAATTTTAACCGCAAGGGCCTCTGGCAGACCTCATTGAGGGAAACATCAGGGCTCCTCCCATTTGTTCTCGAGTGAAAAACTGGACGTGATCAATGGATCTGTGCTAGGGTCCATTACACTGCATCATCAGTTGATCACAAAGCCATTGGTTGGTTGCTGTTTTCTCTGACCTTTGATTCTTGAGGATTTTTGAAGGATATTACAATCTGAGAATGGTACCCTCTGTGGTATACATTTCTGTATGATCAACCAATCAGATTTTGATCACTCTTCTATAATTTATTCCCAACTTCAACATTATCCACCACTTGCCTCATTAGATCCTTCAGTAGATTTGTTGGAGTTTTGGAGTGATCTGATCTGCTGTTTTTGAAGTTGGAAATGTTGCGGTCTTGACTTTTAGTATGGTCCCTGGTTATGCAGCTCGTTGACTCTTGAGTGTCCCCAGAACAAAGACTGACAGATTGGGGGACCACCATCACAGAGGTGGAAAATTCTGTCGATGGAACACTGCTGTTGCATTTCAGAGGCAGCTGGTTCATAGCTCACTGTTGTTGGTTCCAGCCTTTTGCAGTAAGGGACAAATTGACAGTTGACATTTAAAACAACTAAACAAAAGAAGTTTGTGTGATTGGAGACTAAGGACATTCAAATGTCTGAATCATAATGAGTGTGTGTTTTACCCTTTCACTGCACCCTATGAAATTTTCCCAACTATCCATGGCATGGAATTGGCAAGAATTTAGTGCTTGTGGAGTCTAAGCGCTATGTCATTAGTATCTCGTTGGGATGCAGAGTCGGTGATTAGACACCTTGTTGTCGCCCTTACTACCTCAGAGACAGAGGGTTAATTGCATTGCATTCCTAACTGGAAATGCTTGAGAAATAGTCCTGCTAGACTGTGGAGCAAGAGATGATGTGTTTTTACTAAGAGATGACAGTCTGTTGGGACGCCACACTGTGCATGGCTGATTGCTCACATGCAATAATGTTCACCTCTATTGATATGGTTGCCCCACCAAAATCCCTCTTTGTTTCCTGGAGGCTGGGTGCAGGTACTTATGTATGGAGTGGATAAAAAAAGTGGAATCACTGCACTGCATGCGTGGAGTGGATGAGAAAGGTGGAATCACTGCACTGCATGTGTGGAGTGGATAAGAAAGGTGGAATC